AAGTGGCTTAAGCTTCTTAGTGCTGTGCTTTAACCCGCTGCGCCACCAGGGAGGGCCCAGGGTGTTTTATTTGAATGCACCATCAGTCTTAGAACCACCACCATTTTTTCTAGATGACAGCAGGGTAAGGTGATGTAGCAAGTCATCATCATTATTAACATACGTCTGCACAAACATATGAATAGCATTATGTAATTTTACATACATAAGAAAGGGTATGGCTCATGCCTTTGAGGACTTTAACATAACATTCAACCAGACAGTCGCCACATGAAATGCGACAGTTGCTGCTGCTACTCTACTGTATGTCCACACTTTGGTGCTTTCATATGACTCAGTATGCTCCTGGCAAGACTCGCAAAAACAACCAAATGAGGAGTCTTTTCCAAAAATGTGTTCCCATTTCTGCTACCAAATTCATCTAATAGAATAAACTCTTTAACCAAGTGCCACTTGTCCATCAAAGTGGAAACACTTTATTTGATGATGATGGTGAAACATTCAATCTGAATTACAGTCACTTATTGCCGTAGAATCAAGGAATCCTGTTTTCCCTATCAAAATCAATAGAAAAATTGCAACTTGTGCAGGGTGTTCTTTCTTTGTAAAGACAAATGCCAACACAATGTGTTTTGGAGTAGTTCAGATATTTCTCAGCTAGCAATGTGGTTTATTCCTCCCTTTTACCTGCTCCCATTAAAGGCGCCTGAGCATATGAAAGGCTAAAGGGAAAAAATTTCACAAGTAAGTAACAATAACTTGATTATTAAATGTTTCTTTACCAAAATATTTATTTAAAATCATATTTTCAAAGCTGAAGTGTTTTAAAATTTTAGGTTATGTAGGGAGAATATTTTTTAGTCATGAAGTTATTATTATTAATAGTTTTAAAAATATATTGCATCATGGTCAGACTTTCCTCCTTAGAACTCTAAATGTTTCTATTATTTTTACATCTTGAATCTGTAGTTTTAAAAGTTTAACAGTTGTGAAAATTTTCCACTGAATTATTTCCGTGCTATCACCAGGAATTTTTACCCTTTTTAGATGTTGGTATGCCTCTTTTTTGCCTTATGGAATTCATATATGTATAATCATTTACTTACTAAAAGCACATTTATGTACGCTTATGTGTGTAAAAATTAAGCAAGTAATGAACTCTACTGAAATACAATGAGATGAAATTAAATAGGAATGTGTATATACATAAACATGTATAATAAGTTAATAATGAGAACTATCAGAGAGTCACTGAAGCTCAGTTAAGTAGTTAACATTTTACATCTTAACCATTCTTCCTAATTTTTCTTAATTCTAATAAAATATATAAAAATTGGGAATTATACAGACTCAGTATTTCATCAGTAACTTTCAGAAAAGCAAAAATGGGTTTTGTGATGAAGCTAGGTATTATATTTTCTTAAAACAACATCTTTAGTTTCAAGAATAAATACATTGTTATTCTTTGTATTGTTTACTGCTGACTGAATCTTTTCATTATACTACTAGGAATTGTGAACTTAAAAAAGCAACAACACAGAAATAAAAGCAACAGAATTTGATTAATAATAGATCAGTCTGGAAAAACAAGATTTTAAGTGCACATTAGACAACAATCAAAAATAAAAGTCTGGATTACTAGTCATCTTTCTGATTATTATTGATAGTATTCTAGTAAAATTTCCATAGCTAAAAGTAGCAGGAGAAATACATGCATTTTGATAATATGGAAAGTTCAATTTAGCTGATACTAATGTACATATATTTGAAGGCAATTATAATTTCTATTTTTCCTGTATTTGTTCAGTTGTTTTGTACAAAAAAATGTAACTAAATCTGCAGCTAAGAATAGTGGAGATGCACATTCAGGCAAGTGTGTATTCTTACAAATGTGTTTAATTACAACTGCTACAAAAGTGTCCCAGATTTTGAAAAGTTTTATTTTAAGTTTGAAGACTAGACAAGGTCATACTGATTTTACAACATCCTACATGATTTAATATATATACAAAGAAAAAAAAAACAACATTGGAATATTACACAGCTTCAAAGTTTGCAAAGGTTATTTGTGTCTTGTACTTACTGACATGCTGATGCCAGTGAGTACCATATTTCATAATTTGTTGACTAGCAAAGATACAATCATTCATACCCCAAGTCTTCAAAATCCACACCAATTCAGATGAAGCCATTCAGAAAAAGTCAAGCTTAAAATTAGAATTAGTGACAATGATAAGTGCTTTTAATACGATGTAGATAAAACAGAGATGTTTAAAATTTTAACTTCATTGGTATAAATTAGCAATATGGTATGTCATTTGTTTTAGTGTGAATTCAAAATAGAATAAATTTGCTTCACTTTTATCATTGATACAAATGAAAAAAATGGCATTTATTACTTCAAAATAATTCTGCACTCCCCTTGCAATCATGAATTTTAGGCACCAATGAATAGATGTCTCATTGGTCTTTTCACATTGGTGAAGAGCACGGAGCACAGAAAAAATGCACAAGCAAGAAAAAGCCACTTCAATTAATCTCTAAAATAGAACTAATCTGATTTCAACAAATCCTCTTTGAAAATATTTGTTTAAAAATCTAATTATAGAATAAAACTTAAAACATTATAAGAAGCCATGAATAACTTTGAGAAAGTAAATCACTATAATGCATTATTCATAGCTTCAAAAACATACCCTGCCAAGAATGAGGAATTGTGCATAATCTGCAAAGGAAAATGGCAAGAAATTTAGTGAAACAGTAAATCTTTAAAGTGGGTTCAAAGGCTAAGCAGTTTGCATATACTTTAGCGCTTAAATAATTTTTGTACATGATTTTAAGATTTCACCAATTAATATTTTAAATTCCCAATTTAAAAGTTATCTTACAAGAAGACAATACTGCAGGCATGGTCATTTTGCTTGTAAAAGATGCTGAAGACTTCAAATCAGCACTATCATAATACAAATGTGAACTAAAGAACATGTGGACATAGAAAAAGTATGCAGCCAGTCAGTCTTAATTTTGGTCTTATTAAGAAATGTCATCGTGTTCGACTTTCTCTTTAAGCTCTTCACTCTGATTGAAGACCATTCCATATATACATCAAGAAATGCTGTGAATACATGGACAGACAAGACAGTAACAGTCTAGTGGCTTTTGTTATGTGGCACAAATAAAAAGGGGAAAAACTTAGCAGTGTTGCACAGGACCTCAACTTTTTATACACAAACATTCTTTCTTTTCCAAAACCCTTCACTTAGAACTCCAATAATTGTGTGTCTAAGCTTAAGAAAAGAAATACTTATAAAGCTTATAAATCAGATGCTGAACACTTTTATGGAGGCAGTGTGAGCTCTAATTTGCGAGACATGTCAATGAAACCTCCATTATCAATAACAAATTGTCATAATAATTGGTTATTTTTACAAGACCTTTGAAGCAAAATAAATAAAAATCAATTTTCATCTTGAAAATGGTTTACTACTTTGTCACTAGTAAATACTTTTCTTCTCACAAATAACTACCCAATGTGCTTTCCTGGGAAACCACCACTAGTTTCAAATTTCGATAAAATTCACACAGAATGCAGAGCTAAACAAAGAAATGATGAGTATGCTTGGCCAAGCGATGTAATGCTCTATTAATATTGTGTGATAAAATGTTTATTTAATAGACGAGAATTAATGATTGTAGTATCTTAAAGTAAAGATAAGGCTATGTAAATACTAACAAAACAAAGGTTTAAGTTTTAGTTTAAAGGAACTTAATGCAATTTTGTTCCTGCTTATTTTGCAAAATGGAATATCAAGTACTTTACAAAGTACTTAGAAATTACAGTTATAGCTTCCTTTAAAAATAGAACTGCAGATTCAATCTACTGATATTAAATAGGATCAATCTACGGATACTGAGTCATGTTCCACATATATAAATGACAGTGATGCCTCCTCAGCAAACAATAGGGAGAAATGTTTGGGAAAAAATATGCAGGCTATCTATATTATAAAGAATATGTCATAAAACCAATATGAATAAAGGTCAGATCATTTCTGTGTAGAAATAATGAAAGTGGAAATTTTATGCTATCAGTTATTAGTGCTGCAAGAAACAGACTCATCTTCAAAATTCTGTTATAAATGCTGAGTGACTGGTAGGCACAGGGAACAATTGAGGGTAATATAGAGTATTTAAAGAAGAAAAAATTCCTTATTGCTAACATTGCAGTATTTATTTTGTAATTAATTGAGTATTGATTATAAAAGCTTTAATTACGTTTGCTTCTTTTGATTATTATGAGCTTCTTTTTTACTCTTGCTATAAAAAAAAATCCTCCTTTCCCTAATATATTTCAACCAGTGTGAATAACTCACAAAACAATTAGGAAAGTAAATTACAGATGATGTGATGTTAAGAAATTAAAATCATAAAGTCAAATTAAACCATTGAAAAAGCAAGCTTAGACATCTTTAAAAAAGACAGTGGCCTACCACAATTTGAGCACTTTTTCATGAAAAACCTCATTCAGTTTCCTACAGGTTTTGCACAGTTCATTCCATGGAGATACTTTTAGGGAAATAGAGAGGAGGGTTGAGGGGAGCACGGTGTCCTCACTCTTCCTCTGTGCAGCCCAGCAGCTCTGAACGGAGCGTGATCCTTCCGTACCAGGACCAAGGAAGGATTCTTATGTGTCTTGCGTAGATGGGAGGGTCAATGACGTTTTTTCTGTGGGTATCATTGTCAAAATTGCCCTGGAAAACCTAGTAAAGAAAAGCAATAATATCAATTGTAGAATCTTTTTCTTGGGAAGTACATTAATTTTTTGTTAGGAACATTTTCCCAAAATGTGCGACTTAGTTACTATTCATTTTTATTGTGTTCATTAAAATACTACTTCGTCAGTTAATGTTTAATGTAAAGAGTTAAATAAGACAGAAATTGGTTATTCATGGAAGGGTTACATAGATCTATCATTTTTTTTTTAAAGATTTATTTATTCATACAGAACTGGGGTACAGGCCAGAGATGCGGAGGTTGAGAGGATCCACCAGAGACAGAGCGGGGAGCAGAGCAGGCAGATCCATGAAGTACACTGCTGAGGGGAGCAGCGGACGGCTCAGGAGAGGTCTGCCACGCCATGTGGTCACCTCCGGGGCAGGCGGGAATCAAACTCATTCGGAAATGGCTTTAGCTTCTTAGTGCCGGGGCAGGCGGGAATCAAACTCATTCGGAAATGGCTTTAGATTCTTAGTGCTGTACTTTAACCCACTGCGCCACCAGGGAGGGCCCATTGATCTATCATGTTTTTTAAAAATGCAACACATATTTTACAGACTAATGTTGGCTACATAAAGTTTTGAAGGTGCACTCTTCCAAGGGGCTTTTCAGGGAGTTAGGCTCCTTATAAGTTACTGTCATCCTGTGAAATATGAGGTCTTCACATTTACAAGGAGCAAAGGGAAGAAAGTTGTCAGATTCTGCAGAATGTTTTAAAGAAAAAGGTGCAAACAGCTTATATCAGTTCTGGTTAAATCTCTTAATATGTAATGAAGATCAATCACAAATGAAGTTAGGAAATGGATAGAAACCGCAAGGAAATGTAGTTTCTCGTCACAATATCTTTTGCTTGTTTTCCACATGGAGAACAACATTAACTACCACCAAGAGACAATTTAATAAGCACTCTTTCTGACAACATATTTTGAAACTCTTACAGTTTTCTCATTGAAGTATAACACTTTGTACAGCCATATAAATCAACATTCTTATATACATTATGTTCACCACCAAAAGACCAGTTTCCTTCTGTTACCATACAGATGCCTCTTTTTATCAGGTATACTCACTCTGCCTTCTTCCCCCTTCCTTTCTACTAATCACTGTTTTGTTCTTATAGTCTTCAAGTTTAGCTTGGTTTGCTCATTTATTTTATTTCTTTATCATACAGTGAAATCAAATATTACTTTCTTTATCTGACTGATGTCACTACATTTACTCTTTTGTTTCTCTGTCTACAATTTCCTGATCCACATAATCTCTGTTAAGATGCCCTAACATTTTGGTACTGCATGACTGTTTTTTTTTTTTTCATTGTTCTTTTGTTTTGAAGGTATTTTTTAACTTTTTGTGTCTACTACCTCCCCCTCCAAGAGACCTGTAAAACGATTTTGAGAAGTGTCTGTTTTAGAGAAAAGCAAAACAAAATTATAGACCAGGACCTGGATAGGAAGCATATTAAATTATAAATTATTTTTAGAGAAATTTGTATATTCATAATGTTTTGTGTTTACTTGAATATTTTATCATTTTTTATCTATATATTTTAAATATTTACTGTTAAGTCATTTCTAACTATTTTATGTTTACATTTTTGTTTTAGTTCAATTAGGGTAGTGAAAATCTCTTCAATTTTTTCCTTTTTAAGTTTATGAGGCATTTTATAATTAGATGATAATTTTCATGCTTGGTAGAGATCAAAACATGACTATATGGCCAAAGGGAGACCAGAAAATAAAATTTCCCAAATGGGAAAAAGAGATTCCATTATCACATGACAGAATGTTTAACCCACATCTTTGAGCATTTTGAAATTCTAGGAAATGTTTTCAAAGTGGCCTCTGGAATATGTTGTCTCTGGCACACATAATCATAAAAGGTCCCCTGGAAAAAGAAAAATAAAGATATTCTTTCTAAAGCATTAGACAGCATGGCACTGATTAATAGAAGCAGTAAGACAAGATGGGGTAATCTTTCTGCTGGTTCCATGGAAAGATTATTTGCCGTTGAGGGCAAATGCAAAGTGTCATTCCTATCTCGTGGGGGAATAATTTTTCAACTTGACACAAACTATATCTCAAAGGCTATTTTTGAATAAATATTTGCTGGAGAAGAGAACACGGAACTGAACCAAGTGGAGAATTCATCATCCTGGCATATTTGAATCCACATCGATTTAATAGAAATTTTATCCTCAGCAATGTACAGCCTTGCATTGGCCAAGAAGGAACTAATTCAGAATTGAAATGTGTGTCGCTAAATAAGTATCTCTGCTAGCAAAAGCTCATGTGTACAGGGCATAACATACAAGCATTCATCACAAATTTTGAGAGAGGTTGTAACTGCAACAGCAGAAGAGAAGTACATTCTATAACTTCTTGACATTCTTTCCAACATATGACGCTGGATTCAAATGCTTCACTGAGATTATGGTTTTGAAATTTAGCATTGAATCTAAAATCCCATTTCATAGTCCTTCCAGAGAATTTAATGCATATCTTTGGAATAATAGAGTTTAAATTCATTAACGTTCATCACAAAATTTGTAACAGCTCAAAAGATAGTGTTATACCACTTCTTGGGAAGGAAATAATAGAGAAAGAAAATTTTAAGTTGCTGGTTTTCAGCACAAGTTTCAGTAAGTTACTATCAGCCCACAAAACAGGGGTTGAACTGTTAGCTATACTTGCCTATTTATAATGACTTGTACACAGACAACGTGCATCAGCCTAAAATCACATGTGGCTTTGACATTTCTGATGGACTATTTGAATGCTTGTTAAAAACAGTTAATTGAAAGCTTTTAAAGCCGGGAAATTAAAACACAGCAAAAATACCTGCAGAAAACGGCTGAAATCTACATTGGAATCACCCCAACTATGGTCTGAAAATAGACTTTTATTTTCAGAGTCTCTCAGTAATGATGCACAGTGTGGAACATAAAGCACGCACTTGCAAGCTGTAGCATGGCATCTTGTTCTTGCTGTGCAAACATGTGGCACAGTAGCTGTTTCCTTGTCTCCAACACTAGGAAAAGCCTGCTTAAGAATGCCATTTCAATGTTTTATCTGGCAAAGGAAGGCAAGTTCAGTATTTTTAGTTAACTTTATAAAATCTGAGAAGTTCGAGAAAAATACTTTCACACCCACATTTTAGAGATATAAGCATCTTAATTGAAATCAAAATCTAAAGGGACTAATGGGTACATTAAATCTTCATATAGGTGGTGATATGGTACATGAAAAAGAGAATGGGACTTAGAAGTTTATAGAAATGTACTGATTTCAGTTTTTGGAGGAGGCTTAGCTAATTAGCTGATGACAAATTTGCTGAGATACTCAAACATGATAATGCTCAGGGGTCTCTCAGGATTTCCTCAACATATGGGGCCTCGAGGAAAAGGCACTCAAGGTACTTGGAGAGGTTTCCACAATTACAACTGAGAAGATAAGGGAGAGAAAAATGCAACTGCCTGAAATGGGCTGAGATCTTGGGTTGTATTTGCTAATGCCAATTCTCCTGTGATGCTAGTTAAAATTCAAATCAGATCCTAGTGAGGTTTCAAATCTGCACACATATATTCTCAGATAAAACAATTGTTGCTTCCAGTAACATTCAATGTTTTTTGTAAGATGACACTTGTCATTGTTGGTTGGGGACAACAGTCTATGCCAGAAAAGACAGCATCAATATAAGGATGCAAAAGATCATGGATAGGGTCAGTGGGTAGAGACAGATTTCAACTTCTCTCAGCAGTCAGGTACGATGACTCCGCCTTTCATAAAAGTCAAGAAAAACTTCGGGGATTTTCTTGCATACACCACTATTTAGAAAGTCATCTGGTTCATCAGAATGCACTTCTTTTTATTTGTTCTCAACTTATCTCATTAAAAGTTTTAAACATATTCCCACTGTCCTAACCTTTTGGAATTTATGTTCACATCATCCAAACAGTGTGCAGAGTTAAACATTTTATAACAGAGTCCCTGAGCTCTTCAAGGTTATCAAGTCAGTATTCCAGCAAGGTCCCAGGTGACCATCAGTTTATCCCGAAGCCTTTTGCTTGTCTCTTTTTAGATTTCATTATTTCCCAGTTGGTATGTCAAGATGAGAGCTCTATCTGGAATTCCAGATATTGTGGAAATGCAGGATGAACAGAAGTTTCTCAAGTTTTCGCTATTGTTAGTATTTGCCTTATCAACAGTGTCAAGTATAGACAAACTTACAGACAACACCTGTACACTGATTTGATATCCTTAAAGGACAAAGGGCAAAGACAAAAATTCATTTCTGTAGGGTGTGTGTGTGCATGTGCGCTTGCAGAGGTATAAAACCAAAAACTTCTTTACTGAGCACAGACAATTTCAATTATAATTTCACCTGGAACATTTAAAATGCCTTAGGAAGGAATGGTATTTTTAGCTCTGATTCTCACAAACCTTGCTTTTACTTAATTCTACCTCTACAGCGCAAACCTCTGAGGCCTGGAACATAAAGCACAGATGTGTTCACCCCTGCGCCCTCGCTAACATTTCTGACATGGAACTTTTAATGCATCCACATTAGCCCCAATATAATAGTGTCGGTGTGTATGTAGGCACTTCCAAAGCCTGTCTTTTGTTAGAATGAAAAATGTTGCTTTCTGACTTGTGTCTACTGAACTTCAAGCTTTATTCTTAATGAGTAATGATGTCCAAGCTAGCAAAAGAAAATTAATTTGTGTATTGTTTTCATAGTCTCTGGGTATTAAGGTGATTAGGATAAGTGACATAAGTGAGAAAGTAAAACAATTATAGTATGGTTTCACTCATTTGTATAATATAAATAATGAAAGAAAACAAATGGTCATAATGACCTTAGGGTTTGGGGAAAATATGGAGCTTGCCAGAGAGGAGTGGCACAGAGATGGACGAGGGGTATAATGTGATCGTGCTACACACTGGAGCTCGGTGGTGAGTGAAGTATATGCACATGTTGACCCATG